AAAAAAATGTAGACGTTAATACCGTTATTTCCCTCCAAATTCAGTTTATCGTATTTCATGAAAATGAAAAAATAATACACATACTAGATTCTCAACGCCAGCAAAGTCGAATTCTTTGCTTGGCTTCATTTTTTCTCCATCACCTGCCTGTGCACAAACCCCAGTCGCTCTTGTTTCTTCTCTGAAATCTTTCACATTCCGCTTCGCCATTACTCACAGCAAACAAATTCATTGTGGATGCTAAGAGATTGTTTAATTCCTATGTAAACCTGGAATATTATGATTATTGGGTATGTGACATTGGATCGATTTATTGATGCTAGTCACCTGTTCGAGGTGATAACTGAGAAGGATTGTGTTTCGTACACGACTATTATGGTGGGTTTTGCCCCAGAGTGGTTGTTGGAAAGAAGCGGTTGGGGTATTGCATCATGGGTCAAATAACATGTGTTTTGCAACTTTCTTCTGTGCCACAACTTTTGCCTTTTATGTACACAAGCTGAAAATCTTACATTCAAGCAAAATTCAGGCTATTTCACTAGAAAAATAAGTTACATCACTGCACAACTTTCCTGTATGAACATGAAGCTAGTGTAAATTTCCATCCTACAAAAATTTTATCTAACTTAGAGCAGAAGTGTGGTGTCATCAATCTTTCTCAATAATCAGTTCAGCAGCAGCACCCATGGTACCAACCCCACCAATTCCTAGCAATGCCAGAGCAAGCTCCTCTTCATTCCATTGTCTCAGACCTTTACTCAGTCTCTTCAACACATCAACATCCACCTCAAGCACCCAATTTGGAGTGCAACCTACCATCAGGCTCACAAATCCCAACACATAGGCACGCCAAGTAGCCTGATCACAACCGAGAGATATCTTCCCATCAAGTGCACTTGCAAGAAACTCCATGTGTCCCCTGAGGATTTTAGGACGCCGCTTTGATGTTGATGATGATGAGTCAATTCCCCAAGCAAATGCTACGCAAAGCACTGTAAAATATGCAAGTGCATAGCCTCCAAGCATTGCAACCAGTCCTGATCCTTCTTCCAGCTCAGATCTGTGAACAGATATGAACCAAGAAGGCAGGGTTTCTTTTATCAATGACTGAACCAGACCAAATCCACCAGATAACCATACCAAGGAAGCCCCAAGGGAAGCTGCAAGTTTCACGTGAGTCATTGCTGCAGCAAGTGAAACCTGTCCATATCTCATTCCATTCTTGGTCGTCTTCAACTTCTCCAATTTGTCTCTTGGAAGCCCACTGCATGCTATCTTGATAACAGAATAAATCAAGAGAGAAACAATCTCTTCTGTTATGAACTCAATGTCTCTTATGAATCGGAAGACACGTAGGTAGAGGATCCCTGGAGCAACAGGTGAAATCCCACCAGAGAAATGTGAACCAAATCCATGACCAAGAAGGGCTCCTACTCCACCATTGCTTGAGATAGGCGTGAAGTTCAAGCCAAGGGTGGCAGTGAAACAACTTTTAAGAAGCTGAACCACAGCATCACTGTTGTGGAGGAAGACAGTACGAGATGCAGAAAAGACAAGGAAGTCAAACCACCGCTTTGCCTTTTGGGTCCATAGGGAAGCCACAATAGGCATGCAAGGCCATGGACAGTCTGCCGCAAGTGACTCCAGAGCTGGCCCAGCCAGATTGAGAAATCTTTCTGATGCCTTGTCAATTTTGTAAGTGATTGTAAGACTTACAAAGGCAGCCAATGGTAGTGGAAGAGTAGCTGGAGAGCTCCCTCCTATTATAACAGGAAGAACTGATCATAATCTTGAAATAACAATACCTTGAATGATCAAAACTAGGAATACCTTTCCTACATAATTTGAATCCACTTGATGACAGATCCTAGTTCATATAGCTCAATGAAAAAATGAAGGCATGAAACACGCTCCCTCTATTAGTGAAAAGGTGGCTTCTTTTGGTGCGCGTTCAAACACAATTGAGAAATAATATAACAATGCTCACATTCTTAGTTAAAACTTAGGCATTCAGATTGTAAGATGGCAATAAGGAAACCTGCAGCAAGGCTAGGGACATCAACACCAGTGGCAGCTAGGATTTTATTGATGTGCTCCTCAACATTGGACAAATTTGCAGCAGGGCTGGGCCAATCCATACCATTCATAAAAACTGGTTTCCAGACACCTCGACTTACTTCAGCTGAGAAGTAGCTTACTATGGTTGCCAAAGATGCAGGGAGAAAATCAGCTAAATCTTTTAGCCCTGAACAGTAAAACATCCAAATTATAATAGCGTATCTTTCACAAATTCATAAGTATTACTCTCTGAATAAAATAAGACTGACCTGTAGCCAGTTCACGAGGAGAGAGTCTTCCATGAGCACAGGCTGTTAAAGCAGCATCAACAACAAAAGGGACAGCTTCCAGTATATCCCAGGCAGGTAACAGAGGTTTCAAAGAGTTATCTTCATTTCCAGGTCCAGAGGATGTACTACTTCCAGAAGTAATAGAAGTTAAAGACTGGCTTCCTCTACTTATCTTCCTGAACATCATATTAAGAAGTGTATCGACCGTCTGGTGAACAGGTGTTCCCTGGACAAGACCAGAAAGTGCAGCAGCTAGACATCTTTGATGCTGCCGATACCAGGTTTTTAGTTTTGGAAATGAGTCCAGAAATACTGGCTCTGGAGATGATAGACTTGCAACTGCTGAAAGTCTTCTCTTGTTTCGATCCTTGTGGGTGTTTTCAGAAGAAACAAGGTTTGAGTTTCGGACTAACAAGAGGTATTCAGGGGTCAGCTGGGATCCAACTGTGGGTACATCTCCAATTCGACGTTCAATAGGAGGATGATTAAATCTCCATAGTTTTAAAAGAAGAGCAAATGCATTAGAGAAAACAGCATGAGGTGAGATTTCTTCCCCTGTGGGCAGAGTCCATGAGATATTGGGTATACATGATCCAAAAACCTCACAAATTGGCATCAATGAGCAAGCAAGTTGCGGTACCTGACAAGAAAGACAACAAAACAAAAAGAAATTACTCCCTACCTATTGACATAAAATATCTCAATTTAGTAGACATCATATCTCATCTACAACAGTGGAATACACTTTAGATGTATGAGAGGGAAACATACAAAGCCATGTAGCGAGAAAATCTGAACACAATCAACAGATGCTATTCCAACAATCAATACATTAAGCATTGGAGCATAACCAATCAAACGACTATCACTTCCAGCATAATCAGCGGGAACTGGAGGAGATAATAATCTACAAATAAAATCAACAGTATGTTCCTGCAGAAAAAAGCAAAAAGAAGAATTGTCCAATCTTAGAAATATGCAATTTAAAGAAAGTACTGCATCGTGCACAAGGGATTAAAGAAATTGAAAATCTGTTACAAAGACAAAGAACTTCTACCTCATACCTGTATATTCCAACCACGGATTAATGAAGCCCCACAAAGAATTGTAGCAGCAGATATCTTCTCATCATCCGATCCTTTGATTGCAATCTCAAATATTTTCTCCAGTTCTGCTAAACTTCCATCAAATCCATGAGCTTAAATTCAGTTGCTTGGTAAATTTACAAAAAAATAAAAATAAAAATAAAGACAAGTTGATATACCTGGCTTCAGGAAAGAAAAAGGAGCAACTGAAGACCAGGCCAAATTAATGAAATTAGCAGATAATTTGGTTAAACATCATTACATGACTTTGAAAGTCAGAATTTGTAATCTCAACCAATTTAGCATGTTAAGCATGTTATTCATAACCCTGATGTCTCACAGTGGTTTTTCTATGTAAATAAGGTGAGAGAGAGATTACAGAAACATAGGAATGGTTATTCCACGCATACATCTTTTTCTTTTTTAATAATAATAAGTTGGACTAAGGTGGAAACAACTATTGACCACCTTCCCCATGCTCTAGCCATTCCTATTTGTCATATTGTTCCTCTAATTTACCTTATTTTCATACAAAAAACATGGAATAATCGTTCCATTAAGCCAAACATGACCTGAAAATTCACAAATAAAAAAAACAAAAAGAGAAGAAGCTTCTAGTAATACAATCCTATCCTACCAGCTTCCAAGCATCCTTAAGGAACAAGCATATTCCAGAAACCGGTTAAGATTTCAATAGAATACAACTAGTGACTCCTGGGAATGGCTGGTAAACACAAGCCATAAGGAAAATGAAGTTCCAGCAAAGGAAATGAAGTTCAAGAGGAAGTTGTTATAATCATACCTTGAAGCAGGAGTTGAAACTAAGGCATTAACCATTCCTGGAGTAAGTGGCACCCCCTTCGTAAATGCTGACCAACCAGGTGCCTGATATGGCATGGTATGAGGTAGTTGGTTGATGCATCCATTCACATAGTCTGGCCAGAAATATGCTGAGGTATCCAGTAGATTTCTGGCAATACAAGCCTCAACAATCAGATGGCGCATGTTTCCAGCTGAAAGGAGAACAAAAAGAAGATTAGAAAGCATAACAAAAATGTTGGCCCAGAGGAAATATGGAAATTTACATCAATTTCAAATAAGACAGGGAATTATATATGTAAATAACCAAAATTAAATTTTCAACTGGTGCTAAGCAGGGACATGGAAAAGTTTTTCTCTTTGGGGAAAGGGTAAGAAGATTAGGAAAGGAGTGCTCAAGTTCTACAAGAATGCATTGAACAATATGCCTATAGCTTTCTTTTCTTTTTAGATAGAAATCACCAAAATTCTTGAGTAGTCCTAAATAAAGACATACATGCATAAATACTTTCATCATCATCATTACTATCATGTTGGTTAGTTTAGATTTTCTGAAAAATTTAAAGATAATCAACCTGCGTTAACCAACTAGAAGCATTGACCATTGACTCTGAACTTCATGAACTTGTGTTAGACTTCGAACAGAAAGAAATGAAATGGGATGATGCTGATAATGACAAATAAAAACAAGATATCACTTACAACAATTGATAGGCGTGTCTTTCATGTTGATGCACTCAAAGGATGCACTCCCTGCACTGATGCCTGAGACAAACAACATTGCTTTTGCAGCAGCCTGATTTGCTGCAGAGACAACAGATTTGGGTGGACTCAGCAAGCCTTGGCAATCACCAAGTACTTGTAAGCTGGAGATCAGATCATTCCGACGCTTCCCACAAAAAATTTTCTCTTCCAACTGATTAATGGAGCCATATTCCATTTCATTACTTAGTGCATTCTCCTCTTCCTCAATAAGATCAGCAACCACAAGAGTGGTAATAGATAATAGCATGCATAAACGAGCATCTAGCCGAGGCACGGGACCCTCAATAGGATCTCTTTCCTAGCAATGAATGAACAACTAATAGTTAGACATAGTAGTTAGATAAACTTTGAATAATTATGTTCAGTACAACTGAAAGTAGCTGTAAGCTCACTACTATCTTAGAGCTAGTTTGGTCACTAGGAAAGAAGCACAAACTCAGACGTCAAGAAATTCATTTTGTGATTAATTCATGAAGTGAAAACAGGTTCCTCATTTTTAAGCCACAAGCATTAGAGTTTGTAGCACGGCAGAGTAGCCAGAAGGATATTATAGAGAGCACAAAATTTATATTTAATTTTAAGAAGCAAAGTACCATATTTCTTTTCAGAAAAAGATTAAAAAAAAAAGAGACACTATTCAAAGAAAAATTGACATAACAAATCCTAACCCTTTGAACAAGACGAAGGGCCGCAATCCAAAGGCTTAAAAAGGTGTCATGCCAGGTGGTGCCATTCATTGCTTGAAGTGTTTTAACCAAACCTGCAAAATACAAAACATACAGTTTTCATTCTGACATCTCAAACCAAAATGAAAGGATTTTCCTTCTCACAGATAGGTTGTCTTGGCCTTAAAGTGTTGCAATCAACATAGAATCTCAGTTCAGGAAAATATCAGTCTTTACCGCTTATGATTTCAATGGCACTTATTGTATTAACTTGATAACCATCCATGGCATCTTCTAATGCCAAATCAAGAGGAAGCCAAAGAGCAGAACGACTAGCTCCATGGCATAGACCAGCAGAGGAAGCCAGAGACCCAAAAGCCATGACTGCATGAAACTTTTGAAATGAACTTGTTTTGCATTCCCGGGACAAGACAATGCGAGTATCTGATGTCAACTGTAGGAGAGTTTCTGGAGTTAAAGTTTGTGAATTCTTCAATGTTGATGAATTTGATCCAAGCAGCTGTAATCTCTGGATAAAAACTAGCCAATGAGTGGGCCTGAAACATTTTGCAAGATTATTAAGCAATAATTATGCTTAAAAAGATGGTACTCATTCATTTTAATTGAAAAAACCCCAAATGGAAGGGATTCAAAGAAGAATCTACAAAGACTCCTCCAAAACATACAAGGAAAGAAAAAGGCTGAGTGTGCATTTAACTTCTTTATGTGGTTAAGTAATATATGCAGGATGAAAACCAAATCTTAAATTATGGGATCCCTCACAGACACAATCCAAACAAGTGGGGTAGAGAAGAAAATACTTACATGTTTCTACGTGCCAAGTAAAGAATTCTAGATGTCACTTTATTTTGTAGGAACTGCCCAATTATCTCAACAGCCATGGTAGTATTCATATTCTGCAATCTCTCATGATGTTCAATCTTCTTTTCATTATATCGATCAAAAGTATCTATATCCATGTCTGGACATTTAATTGACCATTTGGATGTCCCTTCCGGGGTCAGTTCCAACAACCCTTCATCATCTAGTGATGCATCTAGCAACTGCCACACAATTGAAAAGATGAACTCAACCACAAGAATACCAGGTTCCCTAGCTTGCAAACCAAAAATCTCAGAAAGATGAAGAACAGCATCAATTGATTTCATGACCCTGTATGGGGAAAAAGCACAGAAATTACAAATGAAAAACTCATCGAAATAAGGACAATAATCAAGACAACACAAATGAACTCACTTTTGATAATCTGGCCCATTAATTTGACATTTTAGTGTGAAAGCATGTCTCTTAAGTAGTTCCATATATAGCCTATAAGCTGCTGGCTGGGAAACTCGACTCGGAATTACTCTGCGGGAAGAAAGATACTGTAAACTTTAGCAAATAACATGCATGAGAAAAGAGGGCACTAGAAAAAAAAATTATAAAGCAAAAATTTAGAGTGAAGACATGAACATTTACATTCCTACATCTCATTCTCCATTTTTTTTTTTTACGCCAATTCATCTCATTCTCCATTCATTACCAAAAAACTGGAAAAAAAGATAACATTATTAATAAATTTTCTACAAAACACAGTTCAATTTGAGCTTAATGAAACTGCAGGACACCTTTTTTTGCTGACTTTTTCATTCCAGAAAAACAATAATTGACTTAAGGCATGAGATTCAAGTTCTTTTTTCCCTTTTTATCAGTTTGTCAATTTTCTCGTTAGCCTACAGAATAGGTAAGACAAGATGTCAATCTGACGAACGAAGTTAGCAACTGTAGATTATGGGCCAGACTGCAAGAACTACGTTGATATTCAATTTCTATAGAAAGAAAGGTTGAGAAGAAAAATATGATGGCAGAAGATGAACATTGAATGCTTGAATTAGAAACCTGCAAAACAAATTCCTCCACTTTATTCAGTTGGATGTAGAAAAACTTAAATTGGTTAATTCTTCAAGGAAATCAATAAAAAACAGAAGCAAAAAGTCAACATTTTTTACAATCTATGCATTTCTCCTGGCAATTTGATCTGAAAAACCCAATTGCGAAAAACAGAAAAGAAGAAGAAAGTCTGAAACTTGAAAAAATTCAAAGCTACCAAAAACTGAATCAATTTTGCCACCCAAAAAGAATGCAGCTTGGACAAAACCCAGGTGTCAAGACGGTCGGAAACACAAAGGATAGCAAAAGAAAGCCCAGTAATACGACAAAAAACCTGTCGGAGAGCAGAGCAAGGACGAGCAGGGGAGGCACCATCTTCAACATCAACGCTTTTTCCAGAAACTTCCACATAATGGGTTCGTTGTTATCCCAACAAATGTAGCTGACAAGCAGGTGTGCCATCTCCATGGAAGGCAGAGTCACCCCGGCAGAGCTCAGACTAGAGGATAACTGCAGAGCCCAAAGCAGGGGATCGCAACGCTTTTCCTGTGCCATCTTGGTCTGCTCCACCACGCCGTCCCAAAGGCCGCCGTGCAAAGCCACCTCCATTTTCCCGGACGGATTCCCCATCCGTCTCAGAGCCTCTCCGTCGTTCTCAACGCAACAAAAACACTGAAACAGAAGCTAATGCAATAATTCTAATTATATAACCAGAGGGAAATCTCAAGTACCCTGCTTTTTCAGGCTTTTTGGGCTACTCGAGCGGGATTAGCTTCTTCTCCCCTTCCATGGGCACTGACTCCTTCCTCTCCCCGGGCACCAACTCTTTTTGAACGTGTCAAGTTAGTCAAAGAGGATAAAGGCAGTAGTGATTTCTAATTATTTGCATTATGAGTTTTTGGAATTTTAGTCAGTGGCAATAAATGATTAAAGGTCATGTTTATTTTTTTTTTTTGTTATGGGAAAGGTCATGTTTATACCATAACAAAAAACCAGTTTTCAGGTGGAAAGTAATTTGGTGGTTGAAATTATTAAAATATTTTTAATAAAAATTTATATATGTTTATTAATAATAATTTAATAATTTTAACATTTAAATTATAATTTTAATGTACATTTTAAAGTGACATAAATATGAATTTCTTAAGGTAATGATTATTTTTTTAATAATATTATAAGTTTAAGGTTCCGTAAAATTATAAATTTATAATTATAATTTAATATTAAACGAATAAATATATAATATTATAAATAAATTATTAAAAAATAAATTATATAATAATATATTATATTATACACTTATAATAGTATGTTATATTAGGGCTATATACTTTCCTTCTTCTTTTTTTTTTTTTGGTTTTTGGTTATGAAAAGTTTAGCAATACTGGATCAAAATATTCTCCCCTTATTTCACAATATGAATTTTTTTTTAACTATACACACAAATTTAGAAAGACAATAGCTTATTAACAAAATGTGTATTAAGAATAAAGTAATTATATAGAAATATTGAACCTGACAATGATTTTTTTAAGTACACACACAAATTAACAAAATTATTTCTAAATTACTTTCCTAACAATGATTATTAGGTTGACAAAAAAAAAAGATGGAAAGAAATGATTTTAAGAGGTCATTCGGTGGAAAAAAGCAAAATGTAATAATTTTAGTTGGTTCGTTCTTACCAAATACCAAGACCAACAAAAGGTCTTCAGTGTTCAGACAAACAAAAGTAATATTCAAGTTTAGCAGGGTTGATGTTGGGTTTAGATTAATACTATTAAATAAGTGATTAGGTGAACACAAGGTGAATTTAATTTAGTTTATTTTTTATCATCAGTAATGTAATTTAATAATAAAATTACTTGTGCTTTTAGTTTAAAGTTCGATTTCTGGTCTTTATGTAAAATATATATATATATATGTATATTCCATTTCTTTATTTACAATGCAAGTAGGTACAATCTAATTACCAAATTGTTTATATATATATATTTTTTTTTGTTGGCCTTAAAGTGTTCAGATGTTAAAGCGGGTCTTTTGTAATAGATTTTCGAATCTTAGTGCAAGTGCTTTTTAATTTTCTTTTGGGTAAAAAGCCTGAATGTAAGTGTTTCTTTCTTTCTTCTTTTTTTTTTTTTTATGTTCCTTGCATAACAAGAGATAATATTTTTTTATCTTTTATCTTGTTTCACTTATATTTTATATGATTCAAATTTAATAGTTTTTATTTTTAACAAAAAAAAGTTATTATTAAATTATTTAAGCTATTGACCAGCTTTGTAATCCTTTTTCGTATAATTTCAATAATATTATGACAATGTAATTTTTCATAAATAATTGTTAACTAGTAATATTAAAGCTTTATAAATTATAGAAGTGAACTACTTTGACAATCAAGGTATACGTGGTTGGCGTGAGGTTGAACATCCGCCGGGTTGGAGACAAAGTTTTTGACCTTGTGCAAGTTAAATCCTTGCGCTGGATCAAGGGAAAGTTGAAAAAGTCTTCCTTTAATTTCAGCCAGGCTAAAGGTCTTATCTTATTTACACTTTATATTTTTTTTTTTTTGTTGTTCATTTTTTTAAGTTATTTTCGTTTTGGAAATTCTTTTTTTTTTTTTTTTAAATTTTTTAAAGAGTTTAAAAATTAATGATTAAATCTTTTTTTACTTTAAATTTATAGTTAAACTCTCTATTTGTATTATGATTTTATTGATAATTTAAAATTTTCTATAAATTTTAAATTATAAATGATATTAATTGAGATAAAAGTTAATGTAAAGTACTGGCTATAAAAAAATATATAAAATGTAAATAGAGGGTCCGACCTTTCGGTGAGTGGTGCAAATTTCCTTGGCTTTGCACCATGGGTGGATAGCCTTTCTTCATGTTTTCCTCCAAGTATATTCAATTTTTAAATTGGACATCATGACCTTGTATATGTTACACCTGTTAAAAGTTAGAATATTTCTTGTAATCTTAATAATAATATCTTTTATTTATTGAAAAAAAGAGTATTAAAAAAGGGGGCCAAATTGTCTTTTCAATATTATGCTTGTGGGGTAGAATTTGATTTGATATGGTTTGGTGAGTGTACTTGAATACCCCAGAAAGAAAAGGAATCACTATACATTGGTATTTATGGTATTTGGATCCAACTGCCAGACTTTTTCAGTTAGGTTTGGTGATTGCCGTATCCAGACAACCCCTTTCTTTCTTTCTTTCTTTATTTTATTTTTTTCTGTTTTTTTGGTGAGACAAATTTCTTATTTTTACCATATTGATTGTTACAAAGGGAGGGGAAATTGGTGTTGCTAGTTGCCAGGGCTCCAACACACAATACTTGTCCAATCCACCAAACTAACTGGCAATTTACTAATGCACCCCGGATGCATTCCATTGAAGGTCAAGGGCACTTGAGGATCATAGTAACACCAAAAATGTTGAATCAGCACCATGGACCAACCAATAATGTTGAATCAACACCATGGACCACCAATTAATGCAATCCAAACCCTTGTTGTTTCCAAGTTCATCTGTTTGGTTTCAAGTTTCAACCCAAGAGTCCCTGTAGGCAAAAAAAATATAATAAAATATTTAGTAGTTGGGGTAGGTAAAGATGATGACAGGAGGTGGCAATTGGCCACTAAAGAGGGATGTATGAGGGATGTATGTTGAGGGTCTTGTCATATTGCCACTAGAGAGGGATGTATATGGACGGTCTTGTCATATTGCTTAAGTATATAGGTTGAAAAATAGAAGATTATTTTTTTTTAAATGATTTTTTTTAGTTTGTATTTAAAAAATATTAAAGGTTTGTTTAGTATATCCCTATAAGTTAAAAATATATTAAATATATTTTTTATTATAAATTTATATTATAAAAATAAAAATAAAATTTTAATATATTAATTATTTAATTAAATATACTTTGATATTAAAATTAATATTAATTTTAACATTTTTTTATATATTTGTAATAAAAATATATAATAAATGTACTTTTATCCTAAATATAAGATAAAAAAACCCAAATATTAATATCAACAATCATAACTTTTGAATGGAAATATATATCTTTAATTTTGTATATAAAATCATATTTAAGAATTATAATTGTTGGCAATAATTTTTTTTTCCAGCTGGACCAAATTCCATCTTCTCTTTTTTATACCTCCACTTTTCCTTTGAATTATGACAAAATTTTGGGGTAAGTCTAGAAAGGCAGCTTTTTCTTCTCTCTGTCTCTTTCTCTCTTTCTCTCTCTTTTTTACCACAAGGTTATATTGTAGTGAATTCCACCATGCGGCCTATTAATTGGGTCGTGTTTTTTAATGAAGAGGTGGTGGTGCTCATTTTCGTTTGGAGATTGAATTTTTAGTTTCTAACATTTAACTAATTTAACCTATTAATTATTGTTTTTGTCAAAAAAAGAAAAAGAAAGAAAGAAACAGGTTATATTGTAAGTTGGAGGCAAGCGTGATGGCTGCGTCATGCAATTCATTGGATGATACGTTTAGTAGGTAAGTAGTGGTGGGTGGGCTTTTATCTGTTGGGGTTTATTAGTTAGCTTAAAGTGGCTTTGATTGATCCCTAATTGGTCTCATCAGCTCAAATAAAAAAAATCATCGTAATAATAATAAAAAGGTTCATCCTCACCACCCACCAAACCAAGAAGGAAATGTTTAGAGAAAAAGATGTGTTTTATTTGGCAATGACTTAAATGGTTAGTGATATATATATATATATATATATATTTGAAAGTAAGAGATTATAATATTTAGGATAGAGTAATTTTAAAAGATATAAAAAATAAAAATTAAGATATATTAGTATTAAAAATATAAAAATGTTCAATTAATTACATAATAAATAAGTTTAAATGAAGTTTATATTATATCTTACTTATCATGTAGTTTTAATTAAATATTTTGATTTTTTAATATTAAAATAATTTAATTTTTCTCACTCTCTAAAAAATATAATAAAATTATTTCTTATTTCTTATTACACCACTTAATATTAAAAAAAAATGATGTTTTCCATCTCTGGACTGGTCTTTTTTGCCAAGGTAAATGATTAATTCCTTTGAGATATATTTCTTTATGAGAAACCCGTTAACGAATTCTTTTCTTTATTTTGCTTTAAAGCTAGGTAAGAAGTCTACCATTAAGAGATGAAGCAAAGCATGACCCACAATGACGACAAGGAATCTATATGTTCATTGGGATTTTCTTCTTCTTCCTCCTATTATTATTATTACATTGTTCAATGCTATTTGAAGATGATTCTTTTTGCCTCTTAAAAGTATTTTAACTTGTCAAAAGTTTAAAATTTTAAATTTAAAAATAAAAAAAAATTAAGAAAAAAATTATTTTTTATTAAATAATCCATCATATAATATACAAAAAAAAAAAAAAAAAAAACTTCTAGTTTTATTGATACATTAGAGAATGGAATAACCCTCCCTACCAATTAAGAAATGCTCGAAGCATGTAATTGAACACTTAATCTCAACTCAAGATGTCCAAAATCGTAAATTAAAAAAAACGTTCAAAAAAAAAAAATGAGGCCCTTACTTGTGCATGAATTTATCTTTTTTTAAAGAATAACATTGTCAATCGATGAGGTATTATTTCAATAATAATTGATTTGATTGAGATTTTTTAGAAGCAAATGAGCCTAGATTCATCATTGATATGAATAGGTAAATCATTACATATAAAAGAATAAAGCAATAACATTTGTAAGTTCAAATATTCACCTAAAAAAACAAACCATTGTAAATTCAAATGAGATAGGTACCAACAACTTAATTATGATATTCTTTTAATGAAGGGATTTTTAAAACGTAATTTCAGGGTTTTTTTAATTATAAATTTATATAAAAAATATTTTTTTATACATTTATACAAAAAATATAAAAATTGATATTAACTTTAATATTATTGTTTAGTGAATAAATTTAATTAAATAACATAAATTAAAAAAATCTTTAATAAAAATAAAAATTTTAAATTTAAATTATACAGTATTATGATATCATAAATTAAAAGATAAAATAAAATTATATTTATTCATGCCATCCAAAATGAAAAAAAACAAAAAAATCTAATGAGGTAGGTGAAATGGCTCAATCTGAGATTAATAAATAAACTACAAAGAAAGGTCAAGTTGGTGAGATCTGAATAGTAAGGTGGTTTATGTGGCATGAAGCCACAAAACAAAGCCATTATTTGTGGATTAGAATAATCAAATACAAAGGCATTATCTGAGCTGCAGCCCCGCACTCTTTGTTTATACTTGTATATTGGGCGAGGGATGAAAGAGATGGATGGAAGCATTAATTAATTAATTCATATTTACACTAGATTTCAAAGTGCCAAAATAAGATATTAAGGTGAATCTCAAAAGTTAGATGCCTTACCCACCTAACGAATACGGTAAAGGCAAGCAATGTTGATAATGATGTTGAACCTATCAACTTTCTCCCAAGGACTAAAGCTATGGTATGAATGGACTTCCCCTTGTGGTCATGGGTTTTGCTGGGGTAGCCAAAAAAAAAAAATGTTTTATCTTATTACAATTTTGCCTTACTAGTTATAATTGGTTATCCCCACTAGATAAACATGCAAGATTTAAAATAAATATTTACTCATTTAATACTACGAGATATTACAAGATTGTTATGCAAAAAAAGAAAAAAGAAAAAAGGCAAAGTTAGTGATTGAGAGAAGTTAATGTTTGTGTTATGTGATGGCGTAAGGATGACTTGATAAGGATGTGTATTGTGCAATGCAAGATGGTGCATATAAAAATTGTATATATTTTCAAAGAACGTGTTAATATTATGAATCTGGTGGAAGAAAGAAAAACGACTATGCAAAATTCAAACAAGTGATGCAGATACAGACATCCACTTTGAGAAAATAGTTAGTTTAGATTTAGATTACTTGTTTATACCTCCTATGAATGTTGACAAGCACTAACAATACCAGATTAGGGACAGAAGAAATTGTTTAAAAATATGATTAAAGACGGCACCATATAATATAAAATTTACCAGTTTAAACCATGCTTTTGGTGCCTTCTAATTGGTTTTTAATTGGAGTGAATTACAGACAAAATGTTATTATAAAAAAAAGTATGTACCCAGAAAAAAAAAAAGAAGAAAAAGAAAGTTGAAGGCATTTGTTCATAGATGCTTTTTTTTTTTAAATCATCAACTTTTCTTTTCAATATTGTATATGAATTAAGTTGAGTTAAACCGAACTAAATTTTTTTGAATGTGACATCAAGTAATATATATATATATATATTTGTCTAATTAAAGAAGTTAACAAGTTCAAACAAATATTTAAATGAGGACAAAAACATCACAATCAGAGTTTTCGTCAAAGAAGTGTTAGGTTGAAGAAATTTAACATGACTAGTTAATGATATGATTTATAACAACCTTATTAATACCCAAATTTGTTACTCCTAATTTACCATTACTAGGTGCGAACTTAGCATGTAAAAGTTTGACTTCCACGCTGGTATTATAAACGAACGAACTCACTCACATTGTTAGTTACAATTGTCAAAAAAATAAAAAATAAATAAAAATTCGTGCCTTTCAGACTGTAAAATTTAAACAAATGGACCATAAGTGCAAATGATGAAAGAAATTGATTTGTTATATTACATGGGACAGAAGGAGTTCAGCCCCCAACAGGTGCGAAGAAGGGACGCTTCTTGTTTCATATATAGAAAATGATGGCATGCAAAGAAAGGAGAAGTGGGCCTGTGGCCGTGGGTGTATGTTGATTATGGGAATGGAAAGGGAATGTGGGGGTACTGATATGAACAAATGCAGCTGGAAACCACGCATTTTTCTCCACCTTCCCACGTTCAAGCCTTGTCATTTACTGTAACATCTCCTGCCCCCTTATTTTGCCACAAAGGAGAGGGAAGTGCATGGCCTTGGTTTTTTTTTTAATAAGTTAGATGATGAATTATACAATAAAAGATAGTCTTCTCCTTTTTTAATCCCTCCCCACTTATCCTAAATTCCGAATTTGATCTATAACATGAAAATTCAAGTTTTTAACCTCTAACTTGTCCCCCCGGGGGGACAATGCATGGCCTTGTGATACAGAGGCTACATATGAATAATCTTTTCTATTTTGCAAGATTTTTCTCCCTTTCCTTGAACAATAATCTGAATATAGTAAAAGAAGAACATAAACAACCACAAAATTCAAATAAAGTGCCCTGGATATCAACATTCCACCAAGAGGAACATTTAGCTTGGATACAGACAGAATACCTACCGCCTTCGAATGTGACAGGCACTAAAAACATCAGATAAGGGAAAGCAGTGATTCTAAATATTTGTCCAGTTGATGATTTGATGGTTTCCGATAGCCTTTTCATAATGTGTATTATAGACAAAACGTTACTGCAAAGAATCGTAACAAAAATTTGATACCCACTACCAGCATTTGAATTGACACTAGAGGCAATCAACAATAGGTGACTAGAAGTCTTCGTCCAGCTTGAATTCATAGTTTTTCCCTCCATTCTGAAGGCTTGACATAACAGATGCTTTCTGATAATCACCCACCCTCCTCTCAAAGAAGTTAGCTTTCCCTCTGCAAAGTCGAATGAACATTTTAATGCGAATAGAAACATCAGAAGAAATCATGCCATAGAATATTACAACAGAGCTTATAACACGAGTCAGTGATACGCTAACAACATAACTATTATCGAATCCAGTCAGTGATATTAACTCTTCAATCCCATTTTTCCAAACCCCATAATTTTCCTAGCCCTGAAATATAATACCATTGTTATCTACAGTAAGATCTCTTCTAGGCCTGTATTGATTTAAAAAATTGTTTGAGAGAAATAAGGTTAAACCACAGAGAGTTCAAGCAAGAGTCTCTGAATTAAAAGGATAGTATAATCATCAAAATACAAGATTTTCTACATAGCAGATGTTCAGATCCCATATTTTCATCTGTTTCAAGAGTTCAATATCACAAATATGAAAAATTCTAAGTAATGTGTGTGATAATACTCACTGAAGAGATATAAATTCCATCCAATCAAAAGGATTTTCTGCATTGTATTTTCTCTCATAACCCAATGCAACCTGGAAAGTGGGAGAGAAAAACAATAACAGTCGTTTATAACAGTTCCCAAAATAGCATATGAAACAAAAAAAAAAAAAAAAAAAACTAAAAATAAAATTGGAGGTATACCAAAAGACGGTCAGCAACAAACTTTATGTATTGGCTCATGAGTGATGAATTCATGCCAATTAATGCACAAGGGAGTGCCTCACAGACAAACTCAGTCTCAATTTCCACTGCTTCATCAACAATATGTTCAACCTTCTGGCAATCTAGCTGCTTCTTTAACAAACTGTAAGCAAGAACATCATTACAGCATATCACTTGCATACTGTCAGAAAATCAAGGCCTAACCCAATTCAGCCACTCTTAAATAAAGTAGCAGTAGCAAAGACAGGCTTCTTTACTTTCAAATGAGGAAGTTAATTGGAAAGGGAAAAGAACATCCAAAACAGAAATTTTCACCTGTAAAGAAGGCAAGCAAAGTCACAGTGAAGACCCTCATCTCTAGATATAAGCTCATTTGAAAATGTCAAGCCTGGCATCAATCCTCTTTTTTTAAGCCAGAAAATGGCACAGAAGCTGAGAAACACAAACATACACTTAAATGAAATGGGGAAGAAAACCAAAATGGGTGAGGTCAACCTTATCAAATATAAGAGCCTCTGAGGAGTATGAGAAGAGAACAATTACCTTCCTGAAAAAAAGATTCCTTCAACACATGCAAAAGCAACCAGTCTTTCTGCAAATGAAGTGGAACTGCAGACAGGCACCAAGAGTCATTAAACAACAGTCTTGAGCATTGCTTCCAATCCTCATTAAGTAAAGAGATTTCTTTAACTCAACTGCAGCACATGATAAGTTTAATAAGTATAGAGTTAAGATGCAGTACTACCTCCGAATCCAATCTAAAGCCCACTTAGCCTTCTTAGCCACACAAGGAATGCTTTCAACAGCACTGAATAATCTATGCTTTTCTTTTGAATCCTTAATATAAGTCTCCAAAAGCAAGCTGTACATTTCTGGTGATTAAACGACAGCAAAAAATACAATCAGCCAATTAGTTGTGCATGATAGTGAAAATCCTGGAAATGTTACGAACAATTAGAGCTTATCACCAGCCAGGCCAGGTTGGGCAAAACTATTGTTGAGGCCAAACCGGCCTCACTGCCTGACTAGTGACCCAAGCAAAAGCCAGATTACTCAAATCTGGACTTAGTTTAGCCACTTCAAGGTAAGACACGATTATTAGGTCCAAACTCAGCAGAAGTTCGAAGTTCCAAATTCTAACATGTAACAAAAAATCATTTCAAGAGAGGCTGGGTTTGTTGAGAAGCCAAATAGGAAAATAAGCTCTGTTAGGCCTCAAATTCAGAGCCCAGCCAAGGTTGATGGGGCAAGAGTACTTTTCTATATTATGGTATCAAGAATGCATTTTCAGTCATGCTGAAATGATGGCCATGCCACTTGGATGGCTAGCCAGTAAATGATCATCTCAAGTCAGAAGCTCTACCAGAATGCACATTCTCCATTGCAATTTGAAACCCATAAAATGCCCGGGCCTGAAGAGTGAAATCTGATGTTAAGTACTGGACTTCAAGGAGCAAAGCCAAAATACTAAGAAAATAAAATAAAAGGCATGATTCTGTTATATAAATCATAATTAGCAATTTTAAGGACATCTTCTGACTAGCATAAAAACTGTCTTAAAAACTAGCCTCATATATGGCAGACCCAAGGTCATTGCAACACTAGCATGGATTGGTTTCTTAAAACCTCGAAGAAATCCCTTACCTAAGCATGAATGGCTCTAAATTGCAAGAAGCAGACTACCCTCAAGTTCAGAAAAAAGTAAATGAAAAAAGTAACTAGGAAAAAAACAAATCTGAAATGAAATCGGTGATACTAAACTAAACCTATACATGCATGGGGATTCTTAAAAACTTCTTAAGGAGATCACCATAAATATTTACCTCTGGAATTTGAACATCATTTAGAAATCTTGCAGCCAAGTTCTCCAAAACTATCCCATCAGAGGCAGCAAAAAAGGCTAGTACATGGCTTATGAAGTGTTTCTCTGAATCAGATAAGGTTTCCCAGTGCTGCACATCATGTGAGAGATCAACCTCCTCAGCTGCAACCCCATTAACAAGTTAAGATACCAAACCATAGCATACGTTCTATATAGAATAGATCCATAGAAGGGACAGATAAGCAGATAAATAACAACATAAGAACTTGAGGCCTTTGCTTAGAAGAACAGACCATGGTATGCTTTGTTTGAAATTTGTATGGAAGGAACAAGAGGTATTACATTGATGATAGGTAACCTCATAAGAGCAACAGTCTACTAATTTTATACCCCCTTAGGCCTTAGACAGACTAATTCAACCTAAGGAGTGTAACAAGGGGTTTTGATTTGTGAATTCCTGATTCCAGATTTTATAAGCAAAGGTGCTATTATGTACAAAAAGTTACAAGGACGTTCACAAAACTTCAAATCCACCCCTAATCAAGGCCCAAAGACATTGAGATTGCCTTCAAGAACAACTTCACTGCTTAATCAAGTGGCTGGAATAATCGTTGGTGACAGCAATCATGTCTTTTAATTTTCCAAAAACAATTCCTAATAAAAAAGCAGGCCCATAATTCTAAATCCTAATTGAATGCATCTGGTTGGGTCCAATAAATTTGCTTAAAAACTGATTAACTAGCTCTAAAAAAAATACAGTCAGGCATGAATCCAGTATCAAGTCATAGATTCATTGTGATATGCAAATCACACTTCAATAACAAATGCTTTCTAAATTCCTCAAAAATCACATGAACAACCATAACTCTGATTCCAAGCTTTAAATTCTCTTGGCCAAGAAATTGTAGGTCATTAGCATTTGAATCAGAACATTTAACAAAGCACTCATGCCAAATGCCTAATACCTATAAACATACTTATAACGATGTTAACATCAATGCAATAATATAATGCACTGAACACAACTTTAAGATGCAAATATAAGAACCCACTTTCAACAATGCTTCTTATTCAGTCCCAAACCGTGAATTAACTAAAAATTTCATTCCTTTCCTATAAATATGAGAAATTGCTATGACCACAAACAGTTTAGAACACAGAAACACAACAACAGAACTCCAGAAATTAAAACAAATTGATGAAACAAGAACTAAAACAAAAAAAGGGGCAAAATTTATGAGATACAAGACAAAAGAAAGGGAATTACCGGTCCAGAAACTGGCTTCAGCCTTCTTGTACATCTCCCAAAGGGGCTGATACTTAATGGGAAACATGCAAAACCTCTGGTTTTGCTGCTTCAATATTGGCTCTTCCTCTACCTCTTCTCCCTCGTCTTTTCCTCTGTCTCCTCTCCCTAACACATCTTGCAGAGAACCCATCTCCTTCTTTCAGTCCCTCACTCTATTCTTGCTATCTTTCTTTTGTAAAGAAATCGGATAGTCGAATGAATCGAATAGAAGAAAGACCCCTACAAAAACCCCCCCACAACAAAGTAGCGAAACTGAGGATTGCCGATAGTGAAGAGAGATAAACGGAGGTTCTTGGTCTTTTACCTTTTTGTATTTTGTGCATGGGATTATATCGGAGTAGGGATGTCAACGGGTCCCGTGGGACTGGCAAATCTCTTTCCGTCCTCGTTCCCGCAAATAATGGAAACGGGATTTTTACAGGTATTTTTAACGAGGGTTAAGTTTTACCTCCCGTCTTTGTTTTTTACGGGGAATGGAGATTTCATTCATTAATATTAAAATATAAATTTTTTTTATATATAATTAATTAATATTTAATTATAATAAATAAAATTTTAAAAATTTAAGTATATTTAATTAAAATTTTTTAAATATATAATAAATATAAATTCTCTAAATATAAATAAAAATTAATTCAATATAAATAAATAAAAAATTAATAATAAAATGAATAAAATTAACTTAAATTTAATTTTTATTAAATTAAATTTAAAATAAAATTTATTTATATATTCTTTTAATTTTTCACTGAAATAAAAATCCCGTGAGGTCCCATGGACGAAGAAAATTCTCACAAAGAAAAATGTCTCCGTCCTGACCCCACAAAAAAAATATTTTCTCTCCACTCCATTCCATGATGAAGATTTCCGTGAGACGCTATAGGGATCGAAGTAAATTATCACTCTTATATCGAAGGAATCATTGGTCGAAGTTTGAAAAGTTGACTCACTAACAATAATATTTAAGTATTAAAATTTTAAAATATTATTTTAATAAAATATTAATTTTAAAAGTTAGTATTTATCTAGATATGTAAAAAATTTAAAAATTATTTTATTTAATAAAATATTATAAAAATTAAAATATTTTTATTTTTACTTTAAAAATAATTAAAATATTTTAATTTTTCTAATAAAACTTTATTAAAATAAATTTTAAGATATTTTTCTTTTAATTTTTATAATATATGCTGATACTCTTCTTTTATTAGTTTTATTTAATTTAATTGATAAAAGTAATTATTAATTATTAATTAATAAAATAATTAATTTTTATTAAGTAATAAATCAAAATTGATATTTTTAAATATTATTTATTTTAAAAAATCCAATTCTATGATTGGTGGGACCATCCGGTTGAGGTGTTTAGCTTTGGGTCCGCACAGCACGCTAGAATACCAAACACAAAAGTCAACTTGTGCCTGTTCTTTGTCAAGGTCTCCAAGTAAAGAGGGAGAAAAGAATGTCAGGTTCTCAGTGCTGTGAGAATCCACCAACACTGAACCCCAGCAGTGGAGGAGGCCATGTTGAGGAGATTGGTGGCCTCAAGACCTATGTCACTGGCTCCCCCCATTCCAAGACTGCGATTCTTCTTGTATCCGATGTTTATGGTAATTATTATTATCCCATCTCAAGATTCTTGTGCTTCAGTATATTCTACCTGGGTTTTTAACAGATCTTGCTCTTGTGCTTAGTGAGTTTTATATTGGTTTTGTGTTTGTTTTTCTGGGTGTTTGTTACTGAATCGAAAACTCATGAGAGAAGGATGGTTGGTGTTTTTGGTTTGATTTGATGTTATTGATTTATATTATGTTTTAATCTTGCTATGGTTTGTGGTCTGGATTTTTTATTTTTTCAATTGCTTGTCTTTCTTTCTGCTTTCTGCCACTTGTCATCATCATCATCATCATCATCATCTCTATCATGGTCTAATTTTAGTCCATTGTCTTTTGCCTTGCAGGATATGAAGCTCCAAACTTGAGGTATGACTAATTCTCTAGAACTGCTTTCTGAAGCTAATAAATGCATTTTGACAGGGTCAACATGTAATTCTTGCGGATATTTTTCTTACGGTATCCATCTTGGTGTTGGATGCTAGTACATGTGGTATAGTTTATTCTATATCCTCAGCTGGCTCATGGCAAGCATGAACTAGGTCCCTGTAACTTGTTCCAAGTTATCTAGTCCCCATTTTTTCACAAGAAAGCTTGGCACTTTCTTTTGCAAAGTGATGTCAAGCTTGAAAGCTGTCACTTTTTGGCAAAAAATATCAGCAAAATTCCCCTGACAGGTGGTTGAAGGAAGGTGTTGCTTTCAAGTTTGGGAGAAAATTCATCCCAATCATGGGAAGTGAGCAGCACCTTCCTTCGACCACCTGCCAGGGGAAGGGAATTTTGCTGATATTTTTAGGGTATCAGTGCATCAAAGGCACACTCCATACACTTTTTGGAAAACTAACCAATTATGGATTAAGTTCTTAAAATTTTGTGCTTGTGTTTAATGTCATTCAGATTATGTGTTTGTAGGCTGACATTTTCTAAAGTGTAGCTTCGCAGTATAGTTCATAGTTGTTTCTTACTGGAAATGCACTGTTGTTTATGTTTATGCTACTGATTTTTATCTCTTTAATGCAAAAGAAAGAATTGAAACAAATGGTACGTTTGAACTTTGAATGGAGAAGTATAATAAGTCAACAAACATGTGGGTCAGTAGTTAGCAGCATTAGGGTCTTATTGGGGTCTTCCATTGCTGAGCAATGCTCAGTCTATCACATTTGATTTTAGTGCTATGGCTTGGATTGCATTTGTACATCTGCCTGAAAATGAAACATGGGATGGCATGCAAGTCTGCTTTGTTTCCAGAAATTTTGAAGGACCTAATTTTATTATAACTTAGAACAAAAATTTCAGCATGCTGGTCACCTACTGCCACTCAATTCTGTGTGGAAAATGAGAATAATATTGACGTAGAGTTGAAAGTTTGCATATATTAGGACTGAATATGGTAGGATAGTCTTTCATCAATACAATCTGACCATATACATTGTACCTTAGACAAAATTATCTATGCTAATTCCATCTGTTTTCCGTTGTAAAAGAAAGCTTGCCGATAAGGTTGCAGCTGCTGGGTTCCATGTGTTGGTTCCAGATTTCTTTTATGGAGATCCCTTTGTTCCTGACAACTCTGACAGGCCTATAATGGTTTGGATAAAGGATCATGGAGCGGTTAGTCCTGCCCATTTTGCAAATTCTTGCAAGTTTTTTCTTCATTAAGTTTGATTTGAAAGGACCTGTACTTGATGTTTGATTTGATTGTTTGAAGAAAGGACATTTAGGCAGTGTCTCTTTTTTTTCTTTTCTTTTCTATTATTGCAATTAACTGATTAAGCATTACTCCTCAAGTTAGAGGCTTTGATGCGTTGTAGTTGTCTTTTAGGATAAGGGGTTTGAGGATGCAAAGCCAGTGATTGATGCTTTGAAAAGTAAAGGAATAACAGCAATTGGGGCTGCTGGCTTCTGTTGGGGTGGTGAGTTATGTATCTATGTACTCTACTTTTAAAGGCTTCATTACATGATCTTCCTGTATTTACAAAATCTTGTATTCTTTTTTTTTTTTTTTTTGGGTGCATCAGATG